AAGCATTTGGGGGTGTAAGGTGAGGGCGAAGAGATTTCGGGTTTAGGGTGTAAGGACTTTGGCCTCAGCCTGGAGCTCACAGTCGCTGAGGCACCAACATCGAAGCTAACTCGGCCAGCCTGGTCAGTGGCAGACCCAACAGTCACGCACGTGTTGCGACGTGCATGTATGTATCATAGATTCATTTCCCTACTTTACATGCGTAAATATAATATATATATATATATATTTGTACAGAGAGAGAAAGAGAGATACAAAGAGAAAGAGAGAGAAAGAGGCAAACAGAGAGAAAGAGAGAGAGAAAGAGAGAAAAAGAGCGAGCCAGCGAGCGAGCCGAGACCGACGCAGAAAGTCTGCAGAATGCTCGCCAAAGCCACCACAACCGCTCCGAAAGAACATGTCCACGCACTCCCTCAACGAGCCGAAGAAAGCCCTGTCTTCGCTGACCAAGCTCATGGACTCCACCATGTTACATCAGGCTGTAACATGCCACAGTGCGGCATGCGATATGACCTTTATATCCATACTACTTCTCTACCATAAGGTGACATAAACGCCCCAAACCCCAGGCCTGAACCCTAGAGCCCTCTGATTCCGGGCCACAGCCTGGGGCCTGGAGCCGTGGACCGGAAAAGTCCCCACCAAACGCCCGAAAACTCCTAAAACGCTGGAAACCGCAACAACCCTAATGGCCTAATATTCTCACCAAAACGGAAAAGAAAGCTTGCTTCCAAAAGCCGTAAAAACATGCGAAAATGAAGCACGCACCTCGGGCTCCTCCTCGTCGTCGGCCTTGACCGCACCGTTGCGCGAACGCGCCTCGCCGGCTGTATGCGGGAGGACGAAGTTGAACAGTTGGGGTGTCGGTTTAGGGTTCTAAGCTTGAGGGCTCGGAGGTTTCATGGGCTTCAGGATTTAGGGTTTGGTTCCTCGGACTGTAGGGTTGCAGCCAGTTCCAGCGCTTTGGGCTCAGGGTCTGCACGTCGGCTGTACAAGGCCCTGCAAAAGGGCAGTCAATCCTAAATTCTGCTTACCCTCAAGCCGAAAGCCCGAGACTCAGAACGCTGAACCCTAACCCCAGAAGCCTGAACTCGAGAACCCTGAACCCCTTAACCCCTCAACCCCTGAACCCCTTAACCCTCAAACCCCAAAACCCCAGACCTTATAGATCCCTTATCGAACCCTTATAGATCCCTTTAAAGATCTCCTTAACAGCCAGATCCCCTATAGAACCCTTATAGATCCCTTTAAAGGTCTCCTTAACACTGCAAGGCAGGGATGCCTCGGACTTGTGATTTGCTTTCCTGGCATCAGGAGATACCCCGAAGCAGGCGCTCCGGTGGGGGTACCCAGAGACTCCAATACCCCTTAATTAAAGAATATACCTTAAATTATAGTAGGATCCCTAATAAGATTTAAGGTATATTCCTTAATTAAGGGGTATTGGAGTCTCTGGGTAGGACTGGAGGGGCTGGGAGTGGAGGGCCTTCAGGCTGAGCCTCCAGGGCTTGGGGTTTAGGGTTTAGGGTTTAGGGGTTTTTTTTTGGCGGACGAGGCTCGAGTCGAAACGACGCACGCATAAATTCAGTCCATGCGACTACGCCTGTAGCAGGGCCGGGCCAAAAGCCTTCACAGCCACCACAGGTCCATAAACAACACAACCGGCATGTGCAACCGCACGCAGCTGTTCTGTACTTGCTAGCGTAGGTCCACAACCATGTTCCAACAGAGTAGGCGCAAGCCGTTGGGCGAGGCGACCATACTCGTCAGAAAAAACTACCTCCTGCAAAAATTGGACCGCACTCTCAGGCCCATAAGACTCAACCAGCCGCAGGAAACGTTCAAGAACAGGGAGAAAACAAGCGGACCCACTGTGGTTCGTGGGCCAGCTGACCTCTGCGCTGGGAATCAAGGAAGGCAGTGTAGGGGTGAGCAATGCCCACCAGGGTCGGGGCCCTACGAGGGCGACAGGTGGTGCCCTCACACCTTGATCTTCACAAATCTCTGGCTCGACATCAAGATCGGCACCAACGTAGGATCGGGCACAGCGGGTAGAGGACCTCAAGTGCTGGCGGAGTCGGGCAGTCGACCAGAACTGCCGACAGCAGACCTGACAGGAGGACCCAACAGCATAGCTGGCCTGAGAGCGGATGTCATGAACTTTGGCCATGTGTGCAGCCATCGCCGCCGCATTGCTGAAGAACGCCCCGCAAACCCTGCATCCGCAGGCCGTATCTGTAGGCTTGATCACAGGGATGGCACCATAGTGAACGCCGGCGGCAGCAGCCTTTTCATGAAGGCGGGCTTTGGCCGCAGCAGGCTCAACAAGGCATCTCCGGCCCCGGACGACTTTGACACGGAAACGCCGCAGCAGAGACCGAGTAAGACCCGCCGTCAGCGGCCAACTGGTAAAAGCCTTTTGGCCTGTCCGTACCTGCCGGGCCCAGGCAAGCAGCCGCTCATCTGCAAGCGTTTCAGCAACCAGGACAACAGCTTGCAAGGCACCGTCAAGCCAGCTGGCCTCTGAATACAAGGCCGCCTCAAGGAAGGCATGACCACGGCGGGCCACAGAAGCAAGGACCCTGACTCTCGAAAAGGCCAAAGCTTCATCGGGAAGCATGGCCCCTAAAAGGGCACAGGTTTGCTCGTTGGTCAATCGCCTGCACGGGAAACCCCAGAGGGGTCGCACACAGCCCCGCAGAATACCGTAGTATGCACGCCGGAACTTACCCAGATGGGAAGTGCAGGAAAAGACCAGGGTGCCAACGTTATGTAGCAGGCGGGACAAAATCAAACTGAAGACAAAGTCCCGTTTCTCGCCCAGTCCAAAATTCGGGTTGGACAACAACCTGGCCCGTACCGGGTGCAAGGCTTCACGGGCCAGTGCAGTCCGCCTGGTAACGTCGTCAGTGTTCTTTGCATCAGCCGTGCGCACAGTACCTAGGTGCACGTAGCTGGCAACGCATCGTAGACGAACATCACAGCGGCCAGGCGCACAGACGCGGATGCCAGGACAGGGTTGGTCCTCATCACCGACAAGACATTGCCTAAGGACCTTCTGTGAACCTGGCCCGCAGGCATGTAGGACTGCTTCGGTCTTGCCCGGAGAGAAATTGGTCTGAACCCCAAGGATCCGTAGATATTGGGTGGCCAAGCTGGCGGCACGAGCAACCACTTGGGGGAGCAGAAGAGCGCCAGGGCTGGAGATCATCAACGCAATGTCATCCAACCACGTGGTGGGAGGCGCATCGGTGTGACCCCCATGAGGAACAGTGAGCCGGGCGTAGATGCCTTCGGCAGCAAGGTGGTCCCCAAGAGCCTCCAAAGAGGCCTGTGCAGCATATTGGAAGGAGATGTCGGCATTGGGTGCACCTGGCAGCGTTCCGCAGCCTGTAGCATAAGCCTGGGAGGCCTGTTCATCAACACTAAACCAGGTACCCCGGAGCGAAGCAGAGAGGAGCTGCACAACATCCTGAGGTAAGTCGGCACGCCCTAGTGCACCCCGCCCTCGGAAGGCTGCCTTGTACCTGGACGCGACCTCTACCTCAACCTGCACCTCATTTAGCTTGGCCTCAAGTTCATCATCAAACAAATCAAAGAGCAGTGTGCGGTCCGTAGACGGAAAAGCGGCAACCCCATCCAAGAAAAGGACCGCACCATTAAGCTTGTGACGTCGGAGGTGACCAAGGAAGGCCTGCACCATCAGGGAAGGAAGTTCAATAGGCACGTCCCTGCGGGATCCACCAATCGAGGCCTGCGTGATATCCTCAAAGTGCTTGGCAAGCACCGGCCGGCAGGCCTTGGCAATGGCCTTGCCCGTAGTTGGCATAAGAGCGATGGCCCTGTGACTGTCGACAAGCTGGGGGTCCTTGCCTGGCTTAAGGAGCGCAATAGAGTGCACTCCGCGCCACAACAGCGGGAAACATTGACGCGCCTGAGCCTTAAGGAGTATCGGCATGACACTCAGTGCAGCCTCCAGGGGTGCCGCCTTGAAGAGCTCAGCGGGGAGAAGAGTGGGTCCGGGGGCCTTACCACATTTCATACCCGCAAATGCACTGGACAGGCTGGCGATATCAGGCAAGGCATCAACAACCAAGCTGTCAGGAACGCAGTCCGGCTGCACTCGCATAAGCTCCGCGAAGGGACAGGGTGTGGCACGCTCAGACTTAGCGAAGTGACGGCCAAACATCTCTTTGATTGTGGCCTCATCACGGATCAGCTCACCTGCGTCGTTCCGTAGCTCTGCGGCCGGGCAAGGAGGCCTGTATCGTCGCCCATGCTTGAGCACGGCACGAATGGCCACAGCCATAGTCTTGGGGCCAGCCCGACGTGCCCGTGCGAGGTGGTCTCTAGCAAAGACAGCCTCATCAGCCCGTGTAGATGCACGGATGGAGGTACTCAGTTGCTGCATGAACCGGACGTAGTGAGCAACCTGGTAGTCATGTTCACGCAGTAGATTGCCGTGGTCAACAACCTCCCCCCGAGGCTGAACAGCCTCTCGCCAGCTTCGAAAAACAGCCCAGAGACATTGGCGATGATATAGTTGCTGCCGACGGCGATAGACTCTGCGGGCCCACCGCTTGACCCTCAAGAGTTGCCAAGTACTATCTGAGAGTACAGGGCGGCGGGGGCCAGATGTCCTTGCAGGGAAAAGAGCTCGGGAACCCTTCAGCAAATGCTCGTGCAGACAGTGAAGGTGGTCATCAGCATTGGCAGACCACGGACAGATAGGGGTGGCAGCAAAAAGCTGCGCAATTGCCAACCTGCCCTGTGGAGCCAGCATGGCTTCCCTGTCAAGGCCCGTAGGGGTGCGGGCTTTGGCACTCAGCACAACGTCCAGCCGAGCACCTAGCACCTGATGATCAACTCCCGCATGCTCATCAAGCAAAACAAGGCCTGGGACAGTGGTAAAGCTGGCCTGCCAGACACGCGGGAGAAGGATGTAGTCAAGGCAAGCGGGGGCACCCTGGGGCGAGGTCCAGGTGACAACTTGGGTCCCGTCAGGGCAGTATGAACGTGTGCGGCACAATGGCGCCCGCGAACTGGTCAAGCGACCGCGCATTGTCATTGGCAGGGCACTCCTGCCCTTGCCGCCAGTCATATCGGGCGTTGGCATCACAGCACAATATTGGAGTGGCCGTAGGTGGTAGGCCTCGCATACGCCGAGTGAGATGACCCCACCACGACTCCCTATCAACAGCAGGGGCTGTAGAGGTGAGGGCGTGCGCAACCACAAAAACAATTTGGCCGATCGAAGTATGCACTAACACCATAAGCAGCCTGGGCTCGGCACACAGGATTGACAGCCGGCGGCGGTCAAAAGTTAACGCACCACTTGAGCGGAGCCAGAGCTGACATCCAAGTTGGCCGTTGGCTGTGGGAGACGCAACCCGAATAATTCCATCAACCACAGCAATAGGGGGGGCCGTTTGACGAGTTTCCTGCAGAGCTAGCACCGCCGCATCCTGGGTCCGCATGAAGCTGTGAAGGCAATGGCGCTGGAGGCTAGACTTGCAGGAGAGTGTATTATATGTAAGAAGGAGGGCCTTGAGCCTGATCTGCTCCTCAGTAGGAGCCTCGCCCCGAGTAGCACCATAACTGTTCTGCGGGCAGGCAACCGGATCAGGGGCCCGAACAGCCCCACAGGGGGAGGAGGCGCCATGCAGGTCAAGGGCCGGCCATTGTGCTTGAGCCCCCTGCACACGGCGCAGCCAAAGCCAGCTAAAGTTACGGCCCAACACATCAGGCTTGACCCGTTGGGACAAGACATCATCCGACGTTCGAAGCCCGAGGAAATATTTGGCAACACCGTCGGCCACCTCATTGCCTGGATTACCTCGGTGAGCTGGGACATGGTGGAGGCGCAGAGGATGACTTCCACACCGCACATAACAAGCAACACTAGCCACTGCAACTTGAAGAGGATGTGCGGCTAACTCCGAAGTCGCTCCGTGCGCGACAAGAGCCGCCGACTGAGAATCATACAGTATGGCAGTAGGCAAGTCGGCGCGTGCGGCGGTGCAGAGTGCCATCAGTTGCGCCCACAATTCGGCCTCGTAAGCTGAGGCACCGCTGCATTCGTCCGGGACGCGGCCCGCGCGAAGGCCCATCCAATGCCAAGTGCCCTGGTGCAGCCCCAAAGCAATGACCGACCATGAGGAAGCACCATCACAAAAAGACCCGTCCACAAACAACATAAGAGCCTCCGGACTTCGATCTCCCAGGACAGGAATAGCCGCCAAGAAGGAGCGAGCACTGGGGACCAGCTTGACGTCCGGCGGCACACAACGTTGCAGCAACTCAAGCGCGAAAGGCTCAAAAACATCATGTTCAATACCCTCAGGCAAGGGAAAGGCCAGAGCAGCCTCCTTCTGAACATGTGGCGCAGGCGGAAGCAGTTGATCAAGGCAAAGCTCCCGGGGGCCCTCAGCAGTGTAGCTGGCGGCACATTGGGTCACAACCAGGTTCTCCGGCTCATCTACCTGCGGCGGTACGCTGCTTACGTCACAAATGTGCCTCCTGCCAAGGGGCGTCGGGACAGACAGGGGCTGGACATTAGCCCGGCGCCGTTGGACATCAACTTGGAGCAGGCTGAGACTGCTAGTGGCGCTTCCCGAAGATTCCGGCCGCGGCCTGACTCTTGCCCGGTCCGAGACAGCACCGGCCGGAACCCTCACACGAAAAACAGCACCATCCTTCACCTCCATAGGCGGATACACGGTTGTGTAAGGCAGGCGAGGGAGGATGTGAAGCGCAGGCTCGATGGGGACATTCGGATTGATTGCCGTAGGAATAAAGAATTCAGGGTCCCCAGGAACAGGAAGCAGCAGGGTGCGGTATGTGTCTGCGGCATCAACCTGAACCACAACGGAGTCGACAAGGCTTATAGGGCGTTCACCGTCTACTAGAATAGCCCGCTCCGCTATGGCCCCCGAAGAGCGCAAAGCTGGCTCAGACTCCGAGAGAGTAGGCGACACTGGGCAAGAAACTGCAAAGAGCAAAGGAGGATTCCAGGCCGAGAGGACCCAGATCGCAACTTTGCCAGGGCCGAAAGTTCCGAAGGTAAGAAGCCGCCCTGCCTCTACCTCCCGGTAATATCGCAAAAAGGCACGCGCCGCATGCTCGGCCAGATCAGCCGTCATACCACCTTGACCGTGCGTAAGAGGCGGGAAGGCCACAGGGAGAGCCCACAGACGCAACTGCCTGATCCGCCGCATCCAGACTGTCGCCGGCGAAATGGTCAGGGAACCTCGACACGTATTGGGGACCAACTGAAGATAGTCTCCAGGCCGGAGCGCCCGACGAAGTCCTGACAGGCGAACCCCATTGACCAAATAAGTCAGGCCCCGTGTCACTTGGTTGGGCTTAAGAAGCTCCTCAGCCCAGGTGCTGTCAGGTACTTCAACCGAATAAAGGCCCTGTCCCTGAGTGGTGATATCAATCACGATAGCAACGAAACCAGGCCGCCCAGAGGCAAGGACAAAAGGGATGGAGAGCACTCCATCAGGGCTCTGTGCAGGATAGGCGGCAAGTTGGCCACGGCACTTATAAGCCTGGTTAGGGCAACAGTGGAAACCAGGGCATCGATATCAACAGGGAGAGTGCGGAGCGTCTGGGTGCCCGCCACCAAAGCTAGCAACACCCTAGTTGTGCCAGTAGCAACCCCAGTTGTAGTAACTGTCGTCCTCGTAGAAGCCGCTGCAGCATCGTCCCGCAGGAACGGTCGAACAGCCAGCCACTCGATGGTTTCGAGTGTGTCCGGAAGAACATCATAGACTAAGCCGGCCTGGTCTTGCAGGTAGACTGCACCATGACCCTCCACCCGCAGCTGCACCGCAACATTGGTGGTGACAAAAGGCCGAATGCGCGCAAAGACTTCATCAACCGGCATGTCGGGCCCCACAGGCGGACAAAAGATGTCACCTCCAATGGGCCTCAGGTCCACCGGAATGATCCTCCACGGATCCCCAACGTCCAAGGAAGTCGCAACCAGCTGTGGGGTGGCTATACCAGGCGTGGGGCACTGGAGGGCGTGCATAACACGCAACGATTCATCATGCGATGCTTCAGCAAAAACTGCCAAATCCGCAAGCGTCCATTCCGGGTCCGCCAACAGCTTTTTGGGCCTGCTGTGCCATGCAAACAGAGTGTACTGAAAGCGTTGTCGCCCGTACGGGCCGTTCCCTCTCACAAGCGAGAACTGGAGGGAATCACGAATGGCACAACCGTCCTCGAAGATGTAAGCAGGCCGACACTCGAAAGCAGGAGGGTGGAAAGTGGGCTGCAGGTGTCGGGCCCGTCCCAGCAACGAGGGAGCATCCGCCCGCAAGGCACACAATGCATCGAAATGCTGCTCAGGGCGCACCGCTGGGTCATCATCCGGTTCATCAAAAAGCACCACAGCCCACTCCAAGTCAACAAGAGGCACCCTGAAATGCGCATGTCGGCGCCCTGCAGAATCGCGGATGGCACGCGGTGGACCCTGTGGAAAGGTGACAAGCCGCGGGATGGGCGCGCCCGCCGCCAAGAGGCCAGGCAGATCATCCATAAGCGCTTGGTTCGTGATAACCGCAGTCACCACATTGAGGGCCAAGTCCCGAAGGTCAAAGGGCACCGCGAGAGCCTGTAGAGGAGCACTGACCGGCGTCAGCGTCACTTGCGGGCGTGGTAGGCCGCCCATGGGATTTGTCACAAATTGGAGCGTGCGCACGGTTTGTGTGGATGATCCTGCAGCATCCGCCGCAAAATCGCTGAGATGCGCGCACTCGCGGTCGTTGCCCTGGCTCAAAAATGGTATACCGCCCCCGACCTGAGTCATCAGCCTTACCCTTTCAACCAGGCTCCACGGAGGACCCCCTGCAATCTCTGTCGCAGCGGATGCAGCCTGTTGCTTGCTCCGCGTCTGTCCCTGGCCTCTCAGCTCTACCCTGGTGTCCAGGTTCTACGGAGGATGCCTCCGATGGTCTCTGTGAGCTGCATGACCCGCCGCTCACTCCTCCGCACAGGTCAGGTGAAGGCATTGCACTGGGCCGCACTGCACCCCCCTTTCTTGATGCCCAGGTTTCCCTTGGCAGTCCTCCGTTGCCCAAGGTGACAGGTCCTCAGGTCAGGATTGCATCTGATATGGCAGATCTTCCGATACTGGGAACTCTCAACATGACGCTGCCCTCTCGATTTGTTGGGGCCGGACCTCTTAGTGAATGGGGGCCGAAGCTGGCTACGCGGCATGCGGCTGGACCTACCATGCCTAGTGAAATCTCATACATGAGAGCCACCCATGTCCGTGTTCTTCCATCCGACCTGGATGGGCCTGCCCTCTACCTGCCTATGGCTAGAATGGTGGCTACCCTTAGGCCAGAAGTTGGAGGGCCGAGGTCGACTGCGGAGCTAGCGACAGGCTGCATCCGCTGCGAGGGAGACTGCGAAGGGTCATCAGGGTCATCCATGAGATCCAAGCGCAAAGGCAGAGCTGTAGGATCGAGGTTGAAAGCGGAGCTAGCAACAGGCTGCATCCGCTGCGAAAGAGACTGAGAGGAACCGACCTTCGAGCCTGGGCGGACAGACAGTACTGAAAGGCCGAGGTCGAGTGCGGAGCCAGCAACAGGCTGCATCCGCTGCGACGGAGATTGCGAGGAAAGAGTGAGGCCCTGCATGAGAGCCGGAGGCAAGGGCCGTTGAGTGCAGTCCGAAATCTCAGCTGTACAAAGATGTCTGTACAGATGGTCGCTCGGTTCACTGTACAGGGCTGCATCACCATAGCTGCCAGATCGTGTTGCATTACTGATCGTGGCCCCCCGAAGTGCGTCTCCCTCCTCGTCAGGTCCACATCCGCTTGTACCCATGTTGCGGCAGGGTCCCCGGAATGAGGGAGCACGCACATCCAGGTCCTCCAGACCAGCATCTGCAGCAAGATCATCATTTACAACTGGGCATCGCCGGAAGAGGTGCTTAGCACAGCGCTTCCATCTGTTGGCAGCGCGAGCCGGGGCATCATCCTCGAAGAGCACGCAAAGAGAAAGAGCCTTTCGACGCGCAGGAGTATTCGGCTTGCTTGGAACCTCACTAAAAGTCTCCCAGAGCCTGCATTGATCTCTGGCCAGGCAAAGTGCCTTGTCATAAGCCGTATAAGCTGGTTGTTGCACGCCAGGTAGACGAGGGTCCTCCCAAAACGTGCTAAGCTGTGGCAAACCATGAAGTTCAAGGCTGCCACGCAATTGGTCCATGCATGCCACGAGCTTCGCCACTTCCAAACCCACAAAAGTGGCGTCCTCGAAGATGCTGTGTTGCTCAACCTCGAAAGGGAGCTCCTTCGGCCCGAACATAGCCTGTCGGCCTATGAACGGGCCCCACCAGGGGGCGCCTGCTTGGCAGGCGGCGGCTGCGGCTGTCCAGAAGAAACCGCCAGGCCAGCCTTTGGCACCGCTTCGGCATCCTTGCCTTCTCCCTGCGTCAGATCCACTGCCGTTCCAGTTTTGCGGGGGGTCCTGGAACCGTCTCGTCCTGGCTTTGTCTGATCCGCGGAGTCCTTCATACTGCGCAGAGCCGCAAGGAGCTTTTGGCCATCCTGAATGTTGGCCTCTGTGCTGTCGGCCAGCCTGGCTTCCACGTCGATCGTCTCCGTGACCAGCTGCTCGTTCATCTCCGCATCCTTCTCGGATCCTTCTGCACCATCCTTGTCGGCATTCGCGAGCTTTGCGAGCTGTTGAGTGGCCTGATGCTCCATCGAGGCCCACTGCGCCTCCGCCTCGTCGAAACCGAGCAAGACCTTGTTTTGCTCCTCCACTTGCTGTTCCAGGAGCGCGTAGATCTGGCCCAGGTAATCCTTCCAGGCTGCCATGTAGTTTTGTCGCTGTGCCTGGACCTTCGCCAGAGCCTGACGCGACTTCGCCTGGTCTGCCACTGCTCTGTGCAGCACCTTGGCAGCTGACTGCGAGCTGTTTTGATGCAGCTCCGCCAGGATACTCTGGGCCTCCTCTGGCAGCGACACAGCCGAGTTCTTCAGGATGCCCAAAAGCGCATCCAATTGAGTGCGCTCCTGTGCAGGGACAGCCTCTTGCTGAGCTTTGCGTGGCATCGTCACCATCGGTGTGGACGGCGCACTCGGCAACCCATCCACACTGGGGTCCCCTTGCCTTTGCCCCCCTTTGGAGGCTGGGCATGCTTGCCAGCTTTGCCCTTGTGTCTGCCCTTGCTCGCCCCTGTTGAAGGCTGCCGGCGAGGCGAGGGCTGCTGCCTTCTGCGCGGTGAGCGAGGCTCCTTGCCCCACCACCCATTCCATGTCATGTCGTGCTCCGAGGTCGTATAGGTAGGCGTCCATGACGCCCATGCCTGTCCACACCCCGGGCAGAAGTGTGAGCCCTGCTTGTTTTGACGGTGGCACGTTCCGCACCACCATCCGCTCTTGGCCGACCCAGACATCGCTTCCCCGGATAATCTGAGCCGGACCTTCGCTGGCAAGGTGCTGGCACTGTGATGTCTCTCCAGCACGTCGCAGGCTGCTTGCAGAGCCGCCCTGTCGTAGGGCCTGTTGAAAGAGAGCCAGGCCTTGAGGACAAAGCGTGCCTTTGTCCGCCGTCTCCTGGCTCTCCGGTGAGCCGCTGATTCCACGAAAAAAGCAGCCAACCTGTAGGAAAAATGTCAAGACCACCAAATACCGCCCAAAAGGCATGTACAGGTAATCGAGCACGTAGAATCAAAACCAGACACCTCCCAGATCCACACTGAGGAGGGTCGAAAAGCCCGCCACGGAGTCCGTCCGTGGGGCAGTAATCCAAATGTTCCTCGCCTTGCGTACAGAACACAGGAGTCGCGGGCTTGGCTTAAAGCCTCGCCTGGGGTCGATGGCCGGAGTGAACGGACCCAAAGGGAAACTACGTTCAAACTCGGGCCACAACGTTTAGGGTTTAGGGTTTAGGGTTTAGGGTTTAGGGTTTAGGGTTTAGGGTTCAGGCTGAGCCTCCAGGGCTTGGGATTTGGATTTTGGAATGTCGGTTTTGGTAAGACTTCGGGATGAGGGCCCG